TTAAGATGAGTCAGATGATTGGATAGGTTGACAGATGGTCTTTAAACTTTAAAAAGTAATGCCATACTATCTCAAAAAAACTGTGTATTTATAATTTTATAAAAATAATAAAATTTATAAGGTGGGGCTGTTCTGGTTGAATTGTGTGTGTTAGTGAGGGAGGGAACCAGGGTTTCGTCCTCTCAATCCTTTATGACAGCCCAAACAGCCTCTTCAGAGCCCCCTTTTGCAAATCACACTGGTCTTTCCAGCATGGGGAACTGTCAAATGGTCTCAGACAGGTTTTGGTGTGAAAGCTCTTGGTGCCTGGAGTGCCAATCAAGTGAAAGAGGAACAGCACTCAAAGGGGCACAGACTTCAGATATCAGTCTTAAAACTGCCACTGGAAAGTGAAGCGGGCAGGAGGGTGATGCAGTTGGAATTGAAGTTAGAAATCTGCGTGCTGGCAAAAAGACCATTTTGCAACGTGCCTTCTTTAAATGACCCTACTCGTGTAGAGTGTTATTTAGTTAACCCAGCATAAGGGGATGTTTTAAAGGTGGAGAATTGCCCTGGTGATGAACAAATATGAGAAATAAACTTCCAGTGGGGCTGGGTTGCCTGCTGACTGTGATTTCCTGATGATCTATAACAATGGTTATTCACTAACAGCTGGCGCATGTCTCCCTCGGACAAAGCCACTGGGAAGCACAGGCGCTCTGATTGGTGAACCAGAACCGTTTCCCTGGTAACCGTTAACTAGCACGTGTTTTATTGTTTCCAACTGCTTTTCCTGGGGTATTTGCAGGTGGTGGGAGATGCTTTCTTAAAGAGGGGTCATAACCTCATGAACTTTCAGATGTTGCAACAAATTGGGGAACAAAACATTTTTCTTTTTTCAAATATATTAAGTAAATCTTATTACATAGCATTTTCAAGACAAATGTAGCCCAACAGTTTTTCCTTTTTGCCATTATTTCCAGATGTTATCAATTTTAAAGTCAGCGTTCCATTTTAAGAACAGGATCTATAGGAAGGTGATATTTGTAATATGCATAGCAGTAAAGTATTATTTTGCCTTTTTTGGAGGTGTGTTCTGGTTCTACATTTTGCTATAAAATGTGAGATCAAAAAATGTGACTATTTTTAATTGGTCTTTTAATGGTTTGTATATTTTGTTTGCCTCTTTATTAATTAACTCAATGTTTTTGCCTTTACTGGTAGTTTTGTCATTTTTAATGCACCAGGAAAATTATAGTATTTTTATAAAATACAAGACTAAATAAGATTTGATATTAGAATTTTCTTCTATATTTGACATGTTTTTGAAAGGATTGGTTAATTTCCAGATGGATAGCTCCCTCTTCTGTCTGGTTTGCAGAATTCACATCTTTCGAAAGCAGAGTTGGAAGGTGAAGTATGTATCACAGAATTCTTTATCTTGGCAGCAGATTGAATGTAGTTACTATATGAAGAATAACAAATTCATGTATTGGAATATGGAGAAAGCTCCCATTGTAATAATTTGGTTTAAAATAAAACTGTCTATCTTGCCATAAATGCTGGCTACAAGAAAATGAAAACATTCCCTTAAGTTAATATTGAAATTTATCTGCAGACATCCCTGAAAAAATGCAGACCTGATCAATCACTTGACTAAACTCTACTTGAAACACTTGGACTTTGGTCAAATAAGCATTTGCCACAACTCAAGTCTTCTCTTGAGTCTGATTTGCAAGCCTCTTTCTGGTAAGTGTTCTTCATGGGTTTGCAAACGTGCACCTACTTATAAATTAGATCAGTGGCATTCAAATACTCTTCCGCAGGAACTCAGAATGAAAAAAAAACTTTAAAGCATTTCTTTAAAAATATTTTTCCTTTGTTTCCTTGGATCCAATTCAATCACTACACCCAGAATTAGGGTTATGCTCTGAAAGTGAACACAAAAAATCATAACCTAAACTTATAACCATAGAACCAAAAGAGCTAGTAAAATTATTTATGATAATAAGGGTACTTATGTACAGTCCATGTTTATAGAGATACAATGAAGTTGTGTATTTTTATGTGAAGAGGGAAACATAGATTAATTCAAGCTCACCCTTCTTGTTTCTCTCAGTGTCAGGGTGAAATGGGGGTGGGGATGTCTTATAAACCTAATTATTTGAATATATGTTACATGAGCACTATTTTCAACTCTCTGCTTTTGTTGAGGTAGGCATAGCTCAGGGACCTCTGAAGGAGAAACATTTTACCTCACACACTCCTCTTGGTACCATGTTATTGTATTCTTTCTTTTTAGATTCATTAGAGAAGTACAAATGATATTTCTTATACAAGGAATAATTTGAATATAGTGAAATGAGAATAAGAAAATTAGTTATTATCAAAATTTGTAGACTTAAGCATATATTTGAAAATTAAAAATTACCTTCTCATCTTCACGAGGGTAAAATAACCAAGTCATAAAGTATTCCATAATACATTTCACATGAAATGAGGGATTGCTGGAAATCACAGGCCATAGAACGCTCAATTCAGCCTCTCCTTTCACAGATGAAATATTAAGCCCAGAAGGGCAGTTGTCTTGTTCAGCGTCCTGCAGCTAGGACAGAGCTATTTTCTCTGGCTCTCATTCAAGTGCTCTTTTGCTCAGGCCATGCTCTGTGCCATGGTCAAGAAGTTCTTCCCTAAGCGTACTTGGCTGTGGCTCCATGAATACAGATTCTGTAATTTCTTTCCCCCTCCAAATTAATAAACCCTGGCCCACCTTCCCGGATTTGCATTCCAGTGACGTACTTGGTGAGTGACTTTGGACTAGTTAATCAACCTCTCTGTGCTTGTTTTCACTTCTACAAAATGAGGATAATGATAGTGCATCTCTCAGAAAGTTAAGATCAATATTGTATTGTGGCTTAGTGTCTGGCACAGAGAAAGCTCTCAATAAGTGTTATCTATTATTTTTATTATTGTAATTTTCTGCCTATTTTTTATTATTGTAATATTCTGCCTATTTATTATTGTAATTTTCTGCCTAAGTGTTTTCTCCAGTGTGTCTTAATTTACTCTGCAGCATGTAGTAATCACACTCTGAAATGACTGAAGGTTACACACCCATGTGCATAGCAGCCTTATTGACAGTAGCCAAAAGGTAGAAGCAATCCAAGTGTCAAATGACAGATGAATGGATAAGCAGAATGTGGTGCATATACATAAAATAGAATATTACTCAGCCTTAAAATGGAAGGAAATTCTGACACATGCTACAACATTGTTGAACTTTGAAAACATTATGCTAGGTAAAATTAAGCCAGCACAAACAGACAAATATTATAATGATTCCATTTACATGTAAGGTACCTAGAATACTCAATTCATAAAGACAGAAAGTAGAATGGTGTTTGCCAAGGGCCTGGAAGAGAGGGGAATGGAGGAGGTGTTGTTTATGAATATAGAGTTTTCTTAAGATCAAAACAATTCTGGTGCTTAGTTGCCCAATAATGTGAATGTACTTAACACTACTGAATTGTATGTTTAAAAATGATTGATGATAAATTTTGTGTTATGTGTATTTTACTACTCTTAACAACAACAACAACCACCACAAAATGATTGAAGGGCTTAATGCACGTAGAACATATTAGTTATATCAGTTAGCCCTGGATAGTTTGACTTCTTGGTCCCAGAGCTCTGGGCCAGTGCTGTGGGTTAGAATCAGAAAGGATTTTGTTGGAGGCTAAGTATGTGGTCGTAGAGCTCAAACATCGTATCTGTTTTAGTTCTGTTTCCTTCCTCCAAGATTGCTGATTTCCTGTCAGAGATGGACTTAATTTCCAGAGCCTTACAGTTTATGAACTTGGATGAAAATACAGAAGCACACTTTCCCCATAGACACATGAAGAAACTCCTCAGAGACTCTTCAAAAAATGCAAACACATGAAAAGCAATTTGATTGAGAAAGTTTACCATTAACAACACCTCCTCTGGGGACAGGAATGGTGTAGTGATAGTATAGGCTGTTAGGAAGAAGCTTAGTGACTGCCCTATGGAATAAAGCAAGCTAAAGTGAGAGAGATAAAAAGGGAGAAGAAAACTACATTTTAGTTTAGAATTATTTTGAGATTTCTGTTTAATTATCATTATTATCTACAGAGATGATTAAAAGCATCAAACATTTCCAGAATAAAACCCAAGCACAAATGGAAAAGGATTTATACTAAATTGGCATTTGATAATTTCTTAGAATAATCTGATGTAAAAGTTGTCTGTTATTTCAATTTAAGAATTCCTTTCATCTTTTACTCAATAGTCAATATCCTTTTAATTTCAATTCAATAACATTTACTGAATATCTAATATGTATGTAGTGTAGGCCCTGCGTCACAGAAAAAAAATCCTGGGTTAGGGTTTTTAAAATAAATTTTAAAAGAAGGTAAATGTTTTAAAGCTTAAAATGTTTTTTAAAAATTTACTGTTCAAAATACTGAACTATACTGAAAATCATAATAAATGGTCATTCTTCCAAATAAAATTCTCTTTATGATTATGGGATTTATATAAATTAAATGTTTGCAGAAGAAATTACTTCAACTATATTGTAGGGAGAATGTAATCTTTTCAGATATGCTGGTAGGGAATAATCACTACATTAGTGAAATGTTTGCTCAAGCCAGCATTGAAAAGAGACAGATTTCCCTTTATCTGCTTCTCAAAAATGACAACTAAAATGGTCAGTATTGGGACAGGATTAAAGTCTAAGTCTGTAAAGTTTTAAATGCCACAGTTTTGAAATAATCAGGTGTTTTGCTTTAAGTGTATTAAATTTAAGTGTATTACTATTTAACATAAATATTGAAATATAATTATTAATTTATTCAGAGACAACATCCCAATTCTAATTTCAGCATTGTCTTAATAGAAAACCTGGGTTTATGACTCCACAGGCTTTTTATTAAAATTCCAAGAGGTCAATAACAATCTTGTAATCACAAAATATGCATAAAGGAGAACATCAGACTTACCAAGAAATGTAGCTGTAACAGCGCATGACAAAAGGCACATTTTGGAGACACGATTCAATTTCCTGTTTTTCAGCATCAGGTACTTTATCTGACCATCTGAAGCCTTTAGAAATAGGTGAATAAAGGTGGGAGTCTTTAATATCAAGAGCTATGAAAGGTGAAAAACAGACCCTGACAAACACAGCTAAGTACATCCATATATTTCATAATAGAAACAGTTCCATTTCATTCTCAATATTTCTAGTCGACTAATTGTCCACCACCCCAAGGATTCTTAATAAAAAACATTTTACCCTTTTGAGAGGAAGACAGCATTGAGTTCATTTTGAAAGTTTCACATTTAGCTTTTAGCCAAAAGTGAAACTTTGGTGACTTTTGAATCCCTTTTAAGTCCTAAAGCCTTAGAGAGAAGCCAAAAGAGAAAGAGATCAGATCACGGCCTACCTCTTTCAGCCCTTGAGAATTCCCTTTCCAAGTAGTTTCTTAAATAGTGAGGCTGCATCAGAACCCCCAGTTCTTCTCCTTAGAAGTTATTAAATCAGCAGAAAGACCGACAATAATGGCACATGAAATCTAAGTTTTGTATAGGAAACAGACAGGCAGTCTACACTTTGTTATTCACTTGATAGACAGAGCCATTTTGACAGCCCTAACCTTGGAAACCACAGGTCCTGCTGAGCTCAGCAGGAGTCAAACGCTGAGTACCATCTGTCAAAGCTTTATTTTCCCCCCTCCTCATCCACGCCTTTACTATAAGATGCTAACAAGAGCCCTGAATGAACGTAGCTAACTACAGTTAAACTTGTGTGCATTGTAACACTGATGTTGGGGTAAGAAACTCACTCCCGGAATCTACCAAATTTGAGTAAACAGAATTGTATGTCTTTTCTTAATTGTTATCAACAACACTGAAAAAGTGTGAAAAAGTGATGGGGTTGAGAAACCCCATACTAACAACTAAAACTCCAAAATAAGGAAATTGCACATCATCTTGTATGTTTTTGCCAATTCTGTAGCTAAAATGAATGGGTTGGAAAGTTCTCAACTCTAAGGATTTTTTTTTTCTTAATGTTGTTTAATTAAACATGTGCAAGAACAACACATTCATTTCTCTCTAAAAAAATAGAGATTTTGATGAGTTAAACTTGTGCTTTATAAAATAACTCTCATTCAATACAAACACTCTTTTCGTCTCTCCCTGGCATAATCAATTCTAAAACATTAACAGGCCTAATAATAATAAAATCAATTAAATCAAGTGTGGTATAGCTCATGCTGCACTTGTGTAAAAGACAGTATATCAATTGGAACTTAAAGGAGCTCACAAAGGCATTGCTTTCCACTAAGCACTACCAAAATGCTACATTTTTTGAAGTATAAATTTATTTGCTTGCATTTAAAATTTTTATATATTTAATGAACAATTTAGATATCAGTTTAAAAATCCTTCATTTGGAATATCATTTTTAGCACATGGTTTCTTAAAAAATGTAGAGAAGGTTTCTATAAACACAGATTTAAAAAATAGTAGGTTAGAATTAAAACACTGAAAAAAGCTGAGCTAATTCTTTTTAGCAGAATTATTCATCATTTTAATTTTCAGGTATTCTACTACAAAGACTGTTTAATTTTTTTAGTCTTTTTCCCAATTTTCCCAAATGCTGAAAACAGCTATAAAGTATTACATCATGAGAATAATACTATATATATATAGTATACTAGATATACTATACTATAGCAAGTAATTATTTATTGTTTAGTGGTTACAAGTATTTATTGTTTAGTGGTTACAAGTATAGCAAGTAATTATTATTGTTAGTGGTCACAAGAAGACACTGTGAAGTATTATGAAATTAATTATTGTAGTCATGCAAGTGTGTACTTTTTTTCATTTTGCTGAATGTTCCATGTGTACATGTTTTGCAGGGATTTGAGAGACATTGTGTATAAACACCTGAAATCCTTTATGTGAAATATTTTTTTATTAATTGCACATCCAGGTGATTTTGCTATTTAAAGTGAACAGGTGGTGATTTGTTTGCAATGTGAAAACTGGCTAAGTCATAAATAATAGTTTCTAGTATCACAAGGTTGAATTTTGTCCATCAGTTTCGCAAGATGACTTCAGCTGTATATATGCATGAATGCATCTGAAAGAAGTCTCAATAGGTACTATTTGAGTTGGGGCTTTGCCCCTTCTCCTAGTTTTCCTCATCTGCCCATCAGCCCAGGAGCAGCTGAGGAAGGAAGCTGCCTTTGCGGGCAGAGAGTCCCTGATGGGTAAACACTTCTTCCACCAATGTGCTTATGCCTGAAATCCTTTCTTAAGGGGGCAGGACACAACTTTCACTGCATTGAGAGAAGATTCAAAGGCAAATGCCCCAGGGAGAGGAAACACGTGGATCTAAATTAATCTTGCTGACAGTTATTCTGAAAGCAAAGAGAAGCAAAGGAGAGCAGGAGGGGAGCACCTGCAGATGGAGAAGGGGCAAAGACAGGGGAGGCAAACTTGGCCTTCCTTAAGGTTTTACCTAAGGAGGACTGCCTGAAGTGTCCACGCATAACCTTCCTTTGCCTCATGCTTGTGTTAAACTTTTTTGATTGCCATTGTTATGCTTTTAGTTTTCAGAATCTCAGAATCTCAGAGTTAGGGAAATATTAAAGGTCAGTTAGTCCAACTCTTCCTTACAGAGATGAAGAAACAAACCCAAACAAATCTACTCTGTGATTTATCCAAACCCTGATTTTTTTTTTAAAGCCCCATCTTCTCATCTGTAAAATAGCGGTGATAATATTACAGACCTCAGAGGATTTAATGAGCAATTGAAGCCTTTAGTACAAGTCCTGAGCACAGAGAAAGTGCCCAATAATTGTTCATTTTTGTTATTACCATACATGGAGTTCAGAGTCAGACTTAGTGATAATTTATAGTAACTATATTAGGTCTCATGGTTACTAATTTGTTTTCATTTCTTGTTTATAAATATTTTTTTTGTAAGGAGCTAACAGAAACAACAATTGCTGAAAATTTATAAAACAATTACTTTATTCTATTTATTTTGATAAAATATGATGCATTTTGCAGATGGTTTTTTTCTAGATGTGTGCCTTTGTTTACATAGTTGGAATAATAATGTACTACAATTTTATATCCTGCTTTTCTTCTGACATCATACCAGAATTTTTAATGTGGCTACCAATTCTTGGTGAACATCATTTAAATGACTAAATGTTCCATAATTTAATTAGCCATATCTTTATAACAGAATTTGTTGAATGCTTTCAGTTTTTCTGTTATAAATAGTATTCCAATGACTATTTTAGGATGTGTTTCTTTGGGTGTGTTTTTTTAGGTCACGTTTTCAGAAATTAGATTACAAACTAGAACTTGTATATTTTTGTGGTATTTGCTACTTATTGCTAAATCATGGCCTCACTTTTCTCTTTTTATTTCATTAGCCTTGTTTTATAAATGTTCTTTTAAAAATTATTATTTTGTAGTGACTGGGTCTGGCTATGTAAACCAGGCTGGTCTCAAACTTCTGGCCTCAGGCAATTCTCCCACCTCAGCCTCCCAAAGTGTTGGGGTTATAGGCATGAGTTACAGTGTCTGGCCTAATGTCTTTTGTTTTACTGGACATCCAATTGGTTTTTTAAAAGATGCGATTGTTTTCAAAGTGATAGGGGTAAGTAATGGCACCACCAAGTCTTGAAGCCCTCTTTTTACTACACCACAATAATAACGCCAACGGGTAAAACTTTCCAACATTAAGATGTAGAGGAATCATCCATTCCTTAGGGACTAGCTGAGGTAGCATAAAGTGTAGAAGTCTAGAAGTTGGGAGTTCTGAGTTCGAGTCCTACTACCACTAATAATGAACTATAACATAGATTCATTGATTCTTGCCCATATTTCCTGGAGAGTCTGAGGTTTAGATAATACACTGGAGTGCTCTCAAAGCAGTGTAAATCTCTGCAATGGAGGGCAGTGTCTCACTCTCTGAATCCTGAGCACTGAGTTGCTCTAAGAAGCTGTAGTATAGAGCTTCTTAGACTTGATCTTGTTGCATTCTGGATCTCGTTAAATTCTGTTTCAATAGGTTTGGGGGTGGGCCTGAGATTTTGCATTTTTAGAAAGCTCTCAAGTAATCCTGATGGCGCTGCTGGTCCATGGACCACGCTTTTAGAAGCAGCCACCTTGAGTATCAGTGGTCGTTCATTTGCATGGTTGACTGTCCCCATGGTATAAAGCACCCTTAATCACAGAGCAATTTTAATCAGTGGATAAAGGATGGGAATTAGTAGTAGTTAGCCAGATGCTCCCGAAGTGGTGTCTAATATGCAGGAGTATGTGAATATTGTGACCTGTTTGTGAAGGAAGTATTATATGATCTGTTTCCTCTTTGATGCTAGAGAGCCTCTGAACCTAGGAATGTCTGTTTTCCTGAGATTTGGGAGGAAGTGGAAAGCAGCCACCTGGAATAATAGAGTAATATGGAAAAGCACTGGCTTTTTATTATCATTTCCCTTATCTGAACAGAAACCCAAGAATGACTTTTTCCATTCTTAGTATCAGAGATTTCAACCAAGGTCGCTTAGAAGCTGACCAAGAAAATTTGCCAGAAGCACCTTACAAGCCATAATACTTTGTTGCAAATCTTTCCAAACATCTGCTGCGTGAAAAGGAGCAAAAATCCTGCAAGGGATAAGGTCAAGAGGGCAACTTGCAAGTGGGATATCTTGGCACAGCTCTGTGGAGGCCCATTCTCTGAGCACAGGCGTCCCCAGGAGGCCCCAGCACCTGTTCTTACATATTCCTGCTGGCTTCTGTTGTTTACAATTGCTGTCAAAGGCATCCCAGGAGAGGGCTGGGACAAGCCTTGTCAGGGAACAAGAAAAGCTGGGAGTGTGGCGGTTGTTCTCACAAATGTGAGGATGTTCACCATCCCAGTAGGGACTTGCATTTCCCTTTCACGTCTCCCCACACCTGATGTCAAAAGGAAATCCTTTGAGTTTAGGAACTGTGGCAAAGAACAGTCTTTTCAAACTCAGGTGACATTGATAGCCTAGTTTCATTTTTCTAAAACTGAAATGCCATGAGTG